GTCGAATTTTTGTGAGTGCTCACGACAGATAGTGCAAACGGCAATAATAACAAATGGCGCAAAACTCGCGTCAGGAAATCTGGCATCATTTCTACCGAATTATTTGGTTGCAACCCAATAACATCGTCAGTATCTTTGATCTCAAAACTGTTTATTCGAGCGATCGCGACTATCACTTACACACATTTAGGCTGTTTATGCAAATTTGGAAAATTGCCGATTGTTACCTGTAAGGAACTGAAAACGAAGTATACAGCATGCGCAATAACGGCATTATAGAAACAAGCAATAAACGTACATATAAAACAAATACCATAACCGATGCCTGAAATAAACTGATTGCCAAAACAGAATGAATTTTATTTATTGATAAAATACCAACGCAAAGCTTTAAAATTGAGGAAACAAGTTTTAAACATAGTATACTTGGCTGAATTTTTTTTAAATTTTTTCCTTCCATCGAAAGAAGTGGCCGCGGATGTGAAAATTTATGAAAAATGTAAAGTGCAAAAAGTTTTAAAATACTAAAAAACACCAAAATTTCCTTTAAAAAAATGAAAAAGTAACAAAAGTCTCAAAATTTTCAAAAAAATTTTGAGAGCTTCGAAATTTACAAATAATACTCGAGAATTTCTAAAAAATGCAAGTTGAATGTTACAGTCCATTACACTACGGACACTTCATTACACAGTGTTGCTAAAAATTTGTTTGGAGTTTATTAGCTTTAAACTATAAGCTAAAATTTGAAAATATTTTGTACCTTTAAACATTGGGCAAATTTTTTTCCAGATGCTAATACATCCGGAGCGATGGAACTGTCCTAATGCTAGCTCCATGTAGAACATCGGCAAGCCACCGACCACGAGCATCACCAAGTACGGAATCAAGAATGCGCCTAAATTGATTGATATTCGTTTTCGGGTTAGTTTTAATTCTTCAGGTCATTTGTGCAGTTCAAGAGTCCTACGCTGATAGGGGGAATTACTGGATTTTGATAATCACAAAAATATCTGATCTCGTTGTAGGGAATAAAAATTCGAAGTCAAATTTTTCAAAACAAGCCGGCTAGGAGAAGTGCTCTGAAGACTAGCGATATGTATTATACATAATCGCTACTTTTCAGACTACAGGTATTTGTAATAAACAATCAATATTATTCCCTCAAAACTTCAAAAATGGTAGCACTGCCGAGTCTTTCAGTTCGGTTATTTCGTGTTAGCGATGTCACTGAGATGTTTCCATACGTCGAAAGCATTTCTGCCAGCACTTCGTTCCTATTTTGTACACCTCCATTTAGTACCTTCCACCTGCTCGATTTATGCATGCCACCTTCTCGGAGGTCGCCTGAGTGTTCGCTTGTCTTCCAGGGAGTGCCACTCACTAATGCGCGACATCCACCAGTTGTAGGCTCCATATGTTTCCGCAAAGTAATACATTTTAGCACAACTTTAACTACTTAAAATATACTTTGACGCGATTATCAGGAATACTGATAAGTTGATCAATGGGCAATTCAGCAATGGCCAAAGCAACTGGAGAACTTACTAAATGCACAGCTTGGAAGCCAGGTTAGAGACAGCTGTTGATCGAAGTATAATTTATTTTTGGCGTAAAAATGTCTTTAAATAAACAGACCTCCACCATATCTGTAGCAGATTGTTGGAAATCTCCATATGTTACCAAGATCAACCGCATAGCCAATAACAGCTAATAAAAATTCAACTTTGCTAGCCCATTTGTCACGTGGTAGCGTTGACCGTCGACGCCGTCGTGGCAACTGCGTAATTTCTGGTGAAATCGCGGATTGCGTTGTTGACGAAAAAGATATCGATGAGGGACGTTTTGAAGATGCTCGTTTTGCGCCTGAAAAACGGCAAAAAAAGCTGTGCTGTGATAATGGGCTTTTTCTTTTAAGCTTTGACTGAAAAGGAAAATTTGATTTATGGAATATAAATCTTTTAGAAACAATTACTTCATTTGGTACCAATTGTCTGTTTGACACATACGAATAGCGGCGCGTTATTAAATAGACACCTTTATTGCGGAGTTCCCATGAAAACCCCAGCAGTTGTTAAAGTATGAGTTGTGCATGATGCAGCAGCATTCAGATGATACAGAATATGTATGGAGGTGCGATTCACATGTTACAGACACAGCTGAAGCCGGTGGTGCAGTGGTCTAACAATTCGCGACCGGATGTGAAGACGAG